ATATCTAGAAAAGTCAAGTCCCACTCACATGTGATAACTTTTTTAGAGATCTGTGCCAAATTTAATGGTGATCATTTGACGTCCCACACACATGGGTGTGGAAGGATCTCACAAGGTCATTTCCCATATATGAAAACACTACAAAATGTCTATAGGTGAAATCCTACAATACTTCACCTACGGCTTTATCACCGTTCAAAAGTTTATCATATGGTCACATATATTTGATGGTGTTCGAATTTTAATATGTTTTTTACAAGTCATAATGATCTAAAATTTTGTAGGTGTGTGTGCTTTAATGAGAGGCACATGAATAAAATATAAAACAAATAATTTGAATGAAAACAACTACGTAAAATACCCTTACAAAGTTTCAGGGATAATTTTATCATTTTATTTTATGACTATTATTTTTTTAATATTTTATTTTAGTGTGACTTGGTCATATGTACACACGTCCCAAATTTTAGATAAATCTGATTAGTACAATAATTATAAAAATTCAAATACTACCAAACAACTGTGATCGTGTGATGAACTTTGGATGGTGATGGAGTCTAGGTGAAGTATTATTGAACTTCACCTATGGGCGTTTCGTAGATGCTTCTATAAACTTTGGACGGTGATGTGGTGTAAGTGAAGTACTGCAACCCTATCAAATCATTTTCCTTTATCTTTTGTACATGGAGCTCACAATCATTCTAACTTATTCGATGTCAAATTGGATGGCTTGGAGTAACAAAGTTTGAGAGCGGGTATGGAAAAGTTCGATTTACAACATGAAACAATTCCAAAAAATTGAAAAATATAAAAATAGAGCATATAATAAAAAAAGTTTACATATTATCATAAAGACATAAAAATCATTTTTAAACATATTTTTGCATGGTTAATTTAGAAAGAAGATTTTGATTTTAAGGAAAAGTAACTTGTGCATAAGGGGACTCTTATAGCGTCTGTTTACATACTAAGCATCCTATCTTGTATTGCATGTTGACGAATGGTGGGCTCACTGAACTTAAAATTAAGGGTGTTAAAATTGTAATAGAAAAATCTTATTTTTTTATTTTTATTTTTTACGTTTAAGAACATCGTAGTTTAGATTCTCAATCGCTAAAATTTTAGATCCAAAATCTATCTGTGAAATGGAAATTTAATAGAACTGATCTAAAATCTATCTTTGAAATGGATATTGAGGAGAACTCATTTAAATAGATGTGAAAACTAATAGAATCTTACCCAACAATAAATTCACTAACCCTTATAAAATGGAAAAAATTTCTATAGAGCCTCCGCTCTAACCAATCAAATTAGAGTGCATCTCAAAAGTTTCACTAGAAGAGGTTGTTTTGATGCCCAAATATCGTCAAATTGATCATCAAGATGCATAGACATGAGAAAAAAAATAGATTTCAAGTTTTGGAAATAATACATCTAGTAATGCATTTTTGGATGGTCCATTGTTAAGATTTCAAGCTTTTATAGATCTGCTCGATCTATAGTATTTTTGAAGCTTTAAATTATATAATTAAAGATGAAAATATATTTTAAGGTTATCACAAATATTTATAGTATTGAAACCACATTTCTCGACACTATTTGAAGGTGCGGTACACTTTGATTGTTTAGAGCCTTGACTATATACAAACCGCACCCTTATAAAATTGATAAGGGAAAATTACACATATATCCATTATATTTTATGTTATTATGGATGTACCGAATAGTTTCCGTTATTACATGTCTGACCGCGTTATTTCATATCGTAAATTTTTAAAAAGATTACTCTTTTTTGGGTGTTGAACAACCGAATTGAAAAGTTTTTCAAATGTTCAACATCCGAATTCAATGCATTTTTTATTGTTGAACAACTGAAAATATGTTGAATTCGGATGTTGAACATACAAATTTTCTCGATTTTTTGTTGTTGATTAAATTTTTACGCTAAAATTTTCTGCTTCTTAGCGGAATGTTTTTTTTTTATTTTTTATAATAAAGTTGGGGGAAAACGAATTTAATCAGAACAGAATTACAGAAGCATAATTTAATACCATAGAGATCTATCAGCATGATTCACAAATGTCAGTCACATTTCATAAACCTTGCATTGACAACATCTGAAAATGTCGAAAATGTGATATTTTAGGATGTCCAGCATCCGAAAATAGTTTCGGATGGTGGACATCACATTTTCAGATGTCCAACATCTGAAAATATGACTGCGAAATTCCAGAGACCTTCTGGAATTTTGCAATCACATTTTTTGATGTTGAACATAAAAAAATGTCATATTTTTGGGTGTTGAACATCCGAAATGAGAACGTGAACGTTAAACTTTCGGGCTATTTTCAGATGTTGAATATCTGAAAAACCTTCAATTCGATTGTTTAACACCTGAAAAAAGGTACAGTCGTTTTTTTTAAAAAATTACGATATAAATGGTAAAAAATGGACATACATATAATAACGAAAACTATTTGATACATCCGTAATAACACAAAGTATAACAGATGTGTATGTAATTTTCCCAATTGATAACACACTATTTTGGACTTTTAATAAATTTACTAAAGAAAAGAAGCAGCAACATTGACTATGTGATATTTTATAACGCAATATTTTGGACTTTTAATAAATTTACTAAATTCTTTAAAGATAAACAACAATTTACTATGTCATTGTAATCTGACTGTGTAATGTGATTCCCATGTTTTAAAAAGATTTATTAATATTGTCACAAAATAATTATAGCCACTATGTTCAATACAGATAGCATTTCTCAAAATCAATGAGAAAATCAACCAGAGTAAACATGGTGGGTCTTGAACAAGAGGTATCTTCTTCCTGAAGAGAGAGATCAGTGATGTAAATATGAAAATTAAGGGAATGAACATTTCGATGAAAATATAAAAATTAACGGAATGAACCTCTCATCTCTCGACATGAGTGATGAAAACATTGAAAGGATGAGCATTTTATCTGTCTAGGAATGACAAAAAGAAAGAACAAGAGAAGTGGGAAACGCTGCTCTTCTTATCAGTAATGGTCACGCTAAGAGAATTCAGATGTATCATTCACAAAGACAAAATCAGAAAGAGAAAAAGGGAGGAGCTCTCATAACATCGAACAAGAATTTCATCTTGAATCAAAATAAATAAAACAAGAGATATTAATAAAAGATGAATTTTCTCTCTCTAAAGTGTAACTATGTAAACTGTTTTGGTGTTCGTCTATATTTTATAGAAATGACCCTGATTTTCGGCATATTTTCTCAACAAATTTATAATTCAGATTTATTTTTAAGGCGATATCAATGATGGTGATATTTAGAGCCATTTAATGGGAACAGTTCATATAAGTGTGAGGCTCTAAACAATTATTTGAGCCAAACAAGAAAAACTTCATTAATGCATAACAAAATGCATTAATTTTGGAAGAAGTTTATATAAGGATACAATCTTATAATGTAGAACTACGGATGCACCTCAAAAATCCATCGAAAAAAGTAGTTTTAATGTTGAAAAACCCTTCGATTGATCATCTTGACATCGAGATGTATGACTTTGAAAAATAAAAAAATTTTAAATATAAAAATAGTATATTTTATAATACAAACTGCACCCTTATTTTTTAATATCTATTTTTTTTTATGCCTAGACATATTGAAGTTGAAATGATTTTTTAAAAGAAAATAATACTATAGGACCCTCTCTTATTTATGTGTATAAGACCCAAAAAGATCACCGTTCAATTTGAGACTTATCTATAAAAGAGCCTGGTCCTATGCGGATGGGATAACTTTTTAAAAGATCCATACCTACTTTAAAAAAGATCTCCTACCCACATGGGTGGGGGAGGAACGATCATACTCTTTTTTACATCGCAATAACCCTTTCATAATTTAATTGTTTAGTGCTCAACGTTACGGAGACCTTTTCGTAATTAAAGTAGATATGGTTTGCTGATTGATTGATGGGTGGCTGCTAAGACGAGTCTGTCTCAGCCAATCAAATTTCATTTCCCGCTCCGTTCTCATATTTAGTCCCACTCTGAATTTTGCCTTAAATCCCCCCCCCCCTCTCTCTCTCTCTCTCTCTCTCTACCTACC